GGAGACAAAAATAGATCAGATTATTAATCATTAGAAACACATAATTTTACAATTCTGGCATATATCAATAACTAATTATTATTTTATTTTCTGTGTATTTATATTACAGCTGACAAATGTTATGACCGACATAAAAATTGTATACTATTTTGTCTAAATAAATAAAAAATTCTAAACACTAAAAACTACAATTAATCATTTAAAAAATATATATATATATATATTCAATTAATATTTTTCCCAAATGTGCAATTAAAAAAAGTTTTTCTTTTCTTTGAAGTTACAAATTTTACCCCTAAAGGAATTACTAAATATAATTATGCTTTTCTCCAATGGTGTAGTAAATACATTTTCTTTTACATTTGTGTAATGTTACATTTATGTCACTAGTAATAAATCCAATACTTTATATTGAAATATTATTAATTTAAAAAATATTGTGATTGTGTGTGTGTGTGTGTGTGTGTGTGTGTGTGAGTTACAATTGTGTAGAATCTGAGACTGCATATATAGGCCAGATCAATATGAAAAAGAAAAACTTTGATAATTAAGTACATTATATTAAAAATCAAAATGAAATGATACCTGGATTTTGTTTCATATAAAGGAGCCTTCATAAATTATATTGGGAAAAAAATGTATTAAAAAAATTTAATGGAATAATAAATGAATAAAAAAATGTTTTTCCAAAGTATTCACAGCACTAATTAATTTTCCTGCATAGTTTTGAAAGGTATATGGGACTGTGCTGCAAATTGATGTGTCCAGTTATATATGACTAATGAAAACAAACTCACCCATTTCCTGGGTCTTCCTCTAGGTCTCTTCTCCCCTGTGGTCTCAGCTTTCTGCAAATGCCAACAACCATGAATTAGTGGCAGGTATCTCATCAGGTGCTTTAAACTAATTTTTTAGGCACACAATTTGTCACAAGCAGAGTCATTTTCATATACAGTCACAAAAGAAAAAGGTTAAATGCTAGGGCTCCATTTCCTCTAATGCGTTTAATGCAGAAAGAGTTTGTAAGGTATATCCGGGCTTGGAATGGACCTGTCTCCACTGCTCAAGTTCCTGGTCTGTGCAGCATAATATTTCATAAGAGGAATTTTATGCCATTCAAGTGTAAATAAGAGCACCATTATCAGCAAAACCACCCAGATAAGGGCCATGAATGACAGTTATGGGGTTTCTATCATAGTGGCTCCAACTTAGGTTCACTGAAGTACTCTAAAAATAAAACACCTTGCAGAAAAAGAAGTCTTTAACATATTTTTCTAAAACATAACTTGATTTTGTTGCTGAAGATGTTTGAAAGACAATTCTTGCACCAGTAATGGTTAGGGGGCAAGATTTCTGATCTAACCGTTGTCTAACTCCACCGTCTGAGCCAGAACAGCAGTGGAGTATATCCTAAGGACATTGTGTGTCATTCAAGCAACAATTTTCAAAACGTAACTGAAATTATTTGACAGGTGGAAGCAGGAGAATTTTGTGCTGTGGGTTGAAACAGTGGTGCCTTCCTGCCACAGTCGAAGACAATTAACAAGACAAGATGCATCTTCATTATTTATAGGATACAAAGCTTTCTTCTGGCTGTGGGCTTTTGTTATGCAGAGCCCTGTAGGAAACCTTACTCAAATCATCAAACATCTATGAATTCTGCGAATGTCCCAGGAAGGGTAGGTGTCAGGGGTATCATGTTTGTCAGCAGAGTACATCCAACCAAGTGAGATACAAATTGTTGGTAGAGTATGCGTCTCTAACCTATTAACATCATCAGCATGCTAAAGCCTTACACTAATCTGAGAGAGTTATCAATGTGGTGTCAAAATAAATCATGGGAATCGTGGGAAAATTTTTAGGTTTCGGTGTATGTCGAAGTCAAGACATGTGGATCCATAAATGTGTAGCTGACATGAAATATAATTTATTTAGCATTTAATAAAATTAACTTCATAATCGGTTTGTATTTGAAAGAATCACTTATTTGGTTTTCTCCATACAGAAATATTTGTAAAAATAATAATAAAATAAAAAACGACAAAAGCACATAAAATTACTAATAATTTAAACTAAAAGTTCAAATGAAAACATGAAAATATAAAAAATAAAATCTAATGTCAAAATATTGCTGTAACAGTACATAAATAATACTAAAATAGCACTGGTTTTGTAAACTGGAACAGTGAATCACTGAAAAGATCCGATTCAACAGAATGATTTTGTTCATGAATCCGACAACACTACTTCTCTCAAGAATGTGCTCAGCTAGTGAATTTTCAGTAAATTGTCTTAAATTTTGGTCTTTTCCTCACTCAAACTTAGCAAATGGCTTCAGAAGACTTGAAAACTTGAACGAGTCATATGGGCCACTCTTCTGGTAATTTTGAAGATTAACAGACCCACATTTACATCATTATATTCTTCAAAAGAATCACCTTTTATATAAATTGTACCTTTAGGGGTACAACAGCTTGTCATAGGTCAGACAACTTTGTACCTTATTAACCCCTAAAATATTCATAGCAGTACCTTAAGGGTACATATCACTTTAAGGTACTAATACGCACCATTTAGCGTAAGAAAAAGGTACAAAGTTGTCCCTTTAAAGGAACTGCCCCAGTGACAAGCTGCTGTACTCCTAAAGGTACAATTTTAGCACATTTTTCTATGACAGTGAAGAAAAAGTCATACAGGTTTGGAAAGACACGAGGGTAAATGATGACAGAATTTTCTTTTTTTGGGTGAACTATTCCTTTAAACCCCTATTCTTATTGTTGGAAGACTTCCACAACAGCTTCTACAATGCATCTCTGTCACTTGTGCTGTGTGTAATGTGTTCAGCCCTGTTTGGGTTGGTCTGTTTGCCCTGACTAAGTATGCAGACATTGTCAAGGCTCACATTACCACTTCTCCAACAAACACAGTTTGTTTTGAATAGCCCAAGGATGCTTTACCATTCTGCGTAGGCATGATGGAGAAACATAAACCTGAGCGTCATAGTTCACGCCACAGCCGGTCACTTAGAAAGGACACAGAGGCAGCTACGGATTGGCTGTCAACCTGAGTCCGGCTACCAATTTTTTGGATTGAATATGGGTAGAAATTTGATGTGAAGATTAGATTACGGTGCTTATAATTCTTGCACATTCTCAAAGACACAATCCCTTTAACCTCGTCTCTCCTCATCTGCATCTTTCTCAATGGCTCTGTCTTTCTCTGTCTAATCAGTGTCTCCCTACCCTCAGTCTTCTGTTGGGGATGCTGTATTTTTAATAAGGAGATTTAATGGTCTGCAAGCCGACACCCTGATCAATTAATCATGTCTGTGTTTGCGTGTCTCGTCCAGCCAAGTCCCGTGTCTGCGGCAGACACGAGCCTGGGTGCTCACTGTCCTCTTCGACACCAGGACATCCTGGCATGCGTGTGAGGCCGGGGACAAGGCCATCTCCCATTAATGGAAAGGGAGGGGTGGTCTCGCCTCTGTCAAGCCCACTCTTACAAATGGAGAGTGTAAAATTAGCCCCCTTGTGCCCCGTATCAAGTTCCAACAATGTCTAGTCAATGGAAAATATTTGGGCTAGTCATTAGGGCCAATGCATTGACCAAAATGATTGTAGCGTGTCGGAAACTGTCTGGTTATATGTGTTGACAGCTAAAGCCGTGTTAATCACCATCAAGGTATATCATGGCTTGTTTAGCCTGATTTAGCCTGGATTGTTCATATGATACTAGTTCTGTGGGTTCTTTAGTGCAATTAAAAGCTAACAATGGCAGCATCTGTAATGCATGAAATTGCATTATTTATTGACTGCTACACTTCTTGAACTTGGAGGTTTTTGTTTATTCATTGTATTGTCTCAAGGCACTATCTATCTATCTATCTATCTATCTATTTGTCTTTCTACCTATCTGTTTATCCATCCATCCATCCATCTCCCAGTATATCTGTCGATCTATCTATCCGTTCTTCTGTCCATCCATCCGACCAGCCAAAATCTTCTCAGAAAATTTACCTGACAGAACAATGTCTTTTCTCATCATGCAATACTTACCCTATAAAAGAGTTCTCAGCTGGTACTTTACAACATTAGTGTGGGGTCAGTCTGAGAAGCAGAGTCTTTAAACTGAAAATCGTGAAAGTGGTAGGAGACACAGATGACATTGCAGATGGGAGAGCAAATCTTGTGAGAAGTGTCTCTAGTGAGGCACCTTGCCGATTTGGATGCCTTTCATCTTGGTAGATTCATCAGTCCACTGTATATCATGACAATGCTAAACAAGATGAAACAGGATTACACTCGAGTGCATGAGCTTTTTTCAAAGCGGTCCCGTGACGGTTTACAGTGGTATGTTACTGTGAAAAGAGAGTGATCGGAGCTGTCAGTGAGTTATTAACTCAGCTCTCCTTGACGGCTCGAAGACGAGAATCGCATAGTAATACTTGTAAAAACCAAACCTCCAGACTAGACCACACACAAGCAAGGCAGAAATGTTAATGACTTCATTACAATACTCTTGCAAGAACAACTAGTCTTTAAAGGCATTTCCAATACATAAACAGAATTATGCCATTATAAATGCTGACAGTCAGATTCAGCTAAACTGATGCATGCCAACTAAATCTTATATGATTTCTGTTTACATGGGTATTAGCAAGGAATGGGAACAGAGTTTGTTTGGCAGTATGTAACAGTACATGCTCTATCCTCCCTCCGCAAAGTATACACTTCATGCATGTGTGTGTGTGTGCCTGCATGTTTGTGGTTCTCTCACGCATGCGTGGTAATTTGCCTAAGGCGAGACAGAGAGAGAGAGTATTTATGTGTGTAGAATTCACTGCCACTTTTAGGTGTGTAGGTCAGCAGGATTCCCCTCATCACGTTACTGGAGCTTAGTGTTAACTACTGTGCTGAAACACACAGCAAAGGGCTTCAGGTCATTGCGGTCCGTTCACACAAGCTTTATGATTGAGACATCAAGAAGGCAGCCCCCAACATTCACACACGCATACATACGCCCCAGATGTTGACACATTTCACATGCTTCTAAATGTTCCTGACACGTTCTTGATGATTGATTCATAAAACTGGAAAGAGCCCATTTCCTCAGTTAACACTGCCAAGGTTAATATTCCTTTTCTTATGAAGTGGTATATGATAGATAGAATGATAGAGCAATAGGTGGAAGGATAGAACAACTGACAGAAGGATAGACATGGAACGATAGATAGATACAGAAAGACAGATACTACTTCATAATGTGACAAGTATCTATGTGAGTTTGTTTGTTACTGTTGAGGTGTGCAGAAAGTTGCCTGGTTCTTACCTTCTGCGCTGCTTTGGAGGGGCCCTTGTTCTTGCTTCCTTTGGGGCGTCCCCTCGGTCGTTTGGGGACAGGCTCTCCTGTGGGTTCCTGAGGAGGAGAGGAGGTACTTGGGCCATGAGAACAGGAAACAAAGCCATGGGACACTTTCAATCAGCAAATCAAGTGACATTTATTTGGAAGAAAGCACAAGCACACTTTTCATACCAGTTTTAAGGTTTCAAATTATAAATAATAAATACATTGCTCAAAATAACAGTATTTGGACACTTTCTGGTTGTCAAACGTTAGTGGATCATGTTCATAGTTCATGTGATGAACTACACCTGAGGTTACTCTGATGTGAACGTGAGGAGAACTGACTTCATACATCCACTAAAAATCATACTGGGACCAACTGCTTTAAAGTAATTGCAAAAATAGCTTAACCAAGTGCAGGTGCCATGATTTGCCATCTAGTGCAAAGAAATTCATGCATTTGAAGTGTAGCTTGAGTGTCCAGAAGTGTCCAAATACTTTTTGAGACCATTGCTGCACTCTCCCCCTTCTCAAAAAAGACAGGGTCCCCTTCAACCATGCACACATTTACTTATTACGTATTTAAAATGTAAAGAATTTCCCATTTAAAATTTTGAAATTTAAAATTTGTTTTCACATACATAAATCATCTTTACCAGCCAAACAATGCAGTATACTGGGTGAATGATTGACTTTATTTTTAACCCCTCTTGCCAGCTCATCCTGATGGCTATTTGCAATTAGAGGTATTGCAGTGAGTCACTACTGAATTACTTAAGATAGTGAATCACATCCTCTGACCACAAACACTCAAAAGTTCAAACAAGAATTTTGAAGGATGTGATCATGACTAAACACTAACAGATAGATGTTCAGTGACATTACATTTTAATTACACGCCTGTTGTTATTATAACCACTGCTCACATCAACAGGTACATTTAAAACAGCCAATATACAACATTTCTCTCTCTACCCTTATATACACACAACACAACTATGTTACACACACCCACACACACACACACACACGCACATATATATATATATATATATATGTGTGTGTGTGTGTGTGTGTGTGTGTGTGTGTGATCTGTAATTTAGATGGATTGCAGTGAATCATTTAAAACCTTCATAATTCAGAAGCAAAAATACTAATTTTATTTGGACTGATGAAAGATTTCTAAAGCAAACTGGGTCTGATCTTATCAAATCAAAAGAGGACCCTGTAGCGCAGACATTTACATTAAAGGCATTTAGCTGATCTTATCCAACGATTCACAAAAGTGCTTTAGCATCACATATTAGAGACCGTTGTGATCAACAGATGGCAAGCGTATCATTTGGAATGCTATCTACTAGGAAAGAAGTGCTTCCTGTACAAATACAAACAAGTGCTACTCGTACAATAAACCTAATACACACACAAGCTATACATTCAGTCTGCAGGTATTACCCACAAGAGAAATGCAAGCTTCAAATGCAATCACAATCTTGAAACTTCTGTCTAAAAAGGCCTAGTGAAAATTCTTAAATACAGTAGAATAGAACACACTTTACTGACAGAATAGAACAGACTTTGCAGTGACAGTAGTGTCCTTCAGTGTGCCATACTTTAATTCATCAAAACTATTTGAAAGTAATATTTTAATTATCTATATTTATTATACACACAGCTTAAAGTAATTAGAATGTTTGCACTTAACAAATAATTTCTCATACTCCATGACATGCATGTTAAAATCACGTAGTGAAGGTAAAAACATTATTAACAGTAAAAAATATGTGACAGGAAAAAATCAGAAATTAAATAAAAAATCAAAATAAAATCAAAATGTGGAATACATATATATATATATGTGTATATATATATATATATATATATACTGTATATATATGTATATATATATATAATGGTTATGGCCACGTTATATTTCTACCCAGATAAACATATACTTTCCATTCTTTACTGTGCACAAGTATGAAAATATGCATTATTTAGTACACAAATATAGAAAAACATCCTAAACCAGAAATTGGTTTGCTGGTCTAGTTGATCTCCAAGGCTGGCTAAGCTGGTTTTCAGCAGGTTTAGCTGGCCGCCAAGTTGGTCAAGCTGAAAAATGACCCAATTCCCTTTAAAAACTGCAACCAGGCCTGTCTGAGAGACCAGCAAACCAGCGCAGTCTGGTTGAAGCTGTTTTTGCAGCAGGGGTGCATGTAAACATGAGCCATATAGTGCGCGCTAACAGTAATATGGTTACAGTAAGAATGTTTATTGAGCAGCCTGGCAGGTCTAAACACGTCCATTCAAAATGTAGAATAATAAAGGTTGTTGGTGGTGGAAGAAATGAGTCACACACTGACCTGTTGCGGCTTCCTGGGTCTACCCGGTCCCCTCTTCTTTGGCTCAGCCGGGGCGGGCTCGGGCTCGGGCTGCTCCTGCGATCCTGAAGCTTCGCCGGCGGCTTCCTCACACCGCGCGCTCATCGTGTGTGTGTGATCCAAACCGAGTCTCGCGCACCTTCCGTTCCTGCAGCACGAGCTCTCCGCCAGTCAGTCAGTCTCGCGCTTATCAAAAACAATGCGCACATGAAGGGGATGCAAAATTTAAATTAAAAGCGCTGTATTGTGAGAAGCACGTGCTGCCTCCTGGTTGAGAATTTGGCACACACGCGCGCGCGCGCGCGCACACACACACACACACACACACACACACACACAGAGAGGGAAAAAATCTGTAGAATTAAGTGGGGGTGGCTTTAGTAATAAAATAAGCCCAGTGATCGATTGCAATTTGAACGAGACATTCGCAGAGGGAAGTGTGACAGACTGCACTGTCAAATCCACGCTACTGCGGATTCAAGAATTTGCGGGGAACGACTTGGTTCTACTCGGATTGGTTTGAGTCAAAAAATGGGGTCATTTTAAGATATATAGACATTTGAACAGTCGTCACTGGTTTGAAGTCTCGTATGCCTTAGAACACAAAACAGTTCTTGATTAATTTAAAGTCTGGCATGCATGACAAACATGATTTGCGGTTTGTAGCCTAATGATGCATGTGAAAAAATTAAATGCTATTTGTTGATAATAAAGCATTTAAAAAAAAAACATGATTTGCTTAATTTAGTAACACTGCTTATTTAAATGTGTTTCCTGCTTCGTAATTTGTTAAAAAAAATGGACTCCGTTATGAAAACCATTCAACTAAACTTTTGTTTGTAATGTAAATCCTATATGGCCACTGATGGATTTTATTAGGCCTATTGATAATTTAATTACAGCATAGCTACTAGGCTACATGAATAAATTGACGTTTAGCCTACACCAAAAATACACAGGTCACGTCACGCCTCACGTGCATAACTTGGTAGGGTACTATGAGCTCGTACTATGCAATTTTACACACTCATCAAAAGTGTGCTTTGTAAGCGAAAGGGAAGCAGTTGTGTTTTGTCCCTCAAGGCCGCGAGCACAAGCAGATCGACCTCCAACAGCCACGTGTCTTTGAAGTCTTCCGCCCATCGACGTGGAGTGAGATCAATTACACAAGAACAACAGTGACAAAGAATACACTGCTTTACGTGGAGGGCCTTTCCCACGATCTGACCAAGAATGGCAAAGTCCTCCCAACCCTCTCCAAAGGAATACAGTTGTGTCAGAGATGGAGAGAGGCGAAAATCACTTTTCCCGTGGGTGGATAACACGGGGAGGGAGGGGGCACGAGGAGAGAGAGAGAGAAGAGTTGGACAACAGCCAGAGAAAACATGAGAAATACTAAGAGGAGAGACCACATTGAGACAAACTCACGTGTCCAGCACCATTCATGTTACTGGCTACGCTCCAGAAAAGTATAAAGACACAGCACAGTTCATAGACTGTTTATTTGTTTGTTTATTTCAAGCTATGTAATCGATATATAAACTTCGCTTGGGATGTGCTGCGATTGTTTTTCTTAACGGCTTTGTTTTTCCGCTAACGATTCTTTCAGTATAGTTTCTCAGGAATAAATATTTGAGAGAGAAGTTTCGTATTGCATTTACTGGCCTCAGCATTGCCAGATCAATTACACAAGAACAACAGTGACAAAGAATACACTGCTTTACGTGGAGGGCCTTTCCCACGATCTGACCAAGAATGGCAAAGTCCTCCCAACCCTCTCCAAATGAATACAGTTGTGTCAGAGATGGGCTTTATAACCGAGAGCTGGAGGATCTTGAACTCCAAGAGCTGCACAAAGGACAACAAAGATGGAAGAAGGACAGAAAGAAAATTAAAAAGTGCATCACGAAATATTTAAAATGCATGTTTTATGGGTCACTGACTGATGCAATTTTTTTTTTTTTGTCAGAATTTATGATGGTTACTCTATGATAATTTTTTAAAGTAATTTTGGTATTTTTTAAGTTGAGGAGGTGTAAAAATACAGATTATAGAAAATTATGAACAATTAATGAACACTGTAAAAAATGCTGGGTTGTTTCAACCCAACGTTGGGGACTAACCCAGCTGTTGGGTTAACTTTTTTAATTAAAGTTTTAACCCAAAAGTTGGGTTAGTCCATATTTGACCCAAAGTTGGGTTGAAACAACCCAGCATTTTTTAGAGTGAATGACTGCGTGTTTTGCATTAATGCACTTTTATAGGTTTATATATTAGGCCTATGCGTATTGCTTATTATGAGAATTGGAAAATTTTTCTAGTACTTGCGACATGACTCTTTGTATCTGCATAATATGCCAAAATCGGGGTGGTTATTTTTACTGCACTTTTATATTATTCCTCGCTGCATGCTCTTCATCATTATTCGGAAACCATGCATGTTTGTAGAACTGGCTGCAGAAGGAATGCTTTTCTTGTGAAAGAGACTGGTTCATTTGTAGTTGGTATTCAGTTCATTCATAAAAAACAGCTCTCTGACCCCCAAAGAAGGTGGAGAAGAGGAATTTCAGACCACTCCCCCGCAGACAGAGCGGCGTCAGGACCGCCAGCGAATGAAACGAATACGATCAATATAGCCCCAGCCGCAAATTACTGCCCAAAGTACTACCAAGATCGATTACGGCCAACTTAAAACTTTTGTCAGAACATAGAGACATTTGACTTGAATGTATACATATTGTGCAAAATGCACTTGCAATCTCTCCTTTTACAAAATTCAAGAATGGTTAAAAGCTTTTCAATGCTAAAAAAGTCATTAACAATATATATTTTATTTAAAAAAATTAAAAATCCGGGAAAAAATCTGTGGTTATATTGTCCATGTTTAGTCATTTATTTTAAAGATGCGATACATTTCCACCATGAAAAGTAGCCTAATGATTGTGGTGGTAAATCACAAGAATGCAGTTGAAGCGAAACGTGAAGGAAACAAAGCGCTCACAGGGTGTAAAAAAGCAGGAGCATGTGCATTTCAAACGACATTCTTTGGGCTGGACACATATTTCCTTTTTTTCTCTCTCTCTTGGACAGAGGAGGGGAGCACTCTGGGCAAATTGTGGGAGAGCTCGTCCACCGCGGCACACTAAACAGATCTGAGACCAACCACAGCCCCTTTGCCACCCGATGTCAATTTTAACCGTTTCACCCCCAGACAGCCTCAAAGCGGCCCCCACATATGTGATACATTTATGAAAGCCGGCTGTCAGGGGCTTACAGCCACACATCAGACACAAACTGTTAAAGCATTTTCCTCTTCACTTCAGTCTCAAAGCTGCATAAGTAGCGGTATGAGAAAAAAATGAAACAGAAAATGATCAATGCTCATGAGGCAGCTTATCAAATCTTGTGAAGAAGTCTCTGGCAATAAGATGAGCAAGTTTTACTGTTTGTTATAAATGGATCTCTGACGTTGTCTTCACATGGTACACGGTCAGTCACATTTTCTTCATTAATTTTAAAGATAAATGTACTTAAATATGACAAAATGCATTAAATACAGTTTTACTGCTAGCTGAAAGCAGAATCAAAGTAGCCAAAATATTTGATCATATTTAATAATATTACCTATATACTATTAATATTTAATGTGTATGAGATAAAGTGTATATTAATAATATAATATTTATAACAATATAATAAATATATTATACATTGTTTATTATTAAACAATGTATAATATATAATAACTGTGAAGAAATATTTTATGTTAAACATTTACAGTAGACACACACATAATATAATAATAATAATAATAGTTATATTTTATTTATATTGTATAATTATATTTATTTGAATACATTACAGAATTATATTTATTACAATTTTATAATTTTGTAAATTAAATTAGAAATAATTATATAAATGACAAATTATATAATTACATGTTATTTATTATTATAATATATAATATTAATAGATATCATAGAAATGTGAATACATTTTTGTAAATATATTTTATATGTATTATACATTTATACGAAATAATAATAATAAATGAAAATACAGTGTGTGCGTTTACTTGTAATTATATATATATATATATATATTCAATTTCTCTCTCTCTCTCTCTCTCTCTCTCTCTCTCTCTCTACATGTATTATACATTTAGAAGTAAACACACACACACATTATAAAGGCCAACATGGCAGCCTAACTGGTAAATGGACTATCTAGGGTCAGTCACCCTATCGAGGGGTTAACGGTGACGTGGGGCCATACAGACAAATTATCAGTCTGAGCTGCCTCTCCCATCCCCTCCCTTTTGAAGTGACATAGACGTCTGGCCAGCTCCCAGGCCACCTTGGAGAGACAGGGAGGCAATGTGTGTGTGCAAGCTCACACAAACTCCCACCTCACTGAACCTGAGTCCCCTGTGAATAGCAGGGTCCGCTGGTCTATTCAGTCTCCAGGCTCTCGTATTATTAATGTAGTCAGTTGGTAAAGCAAAGGGTGGCCTGTCTATATGGAAATGGTCCTCTGTGAACTCACGCTCTAGTTTGGGAAGCAGGTACAATGTGGCGTCACAGGTCAACAGAAGGTGCTGATCCAGGAGAACACTTGTGTGTCACTGTGTCAAAAGGCTACATTTAGTTTACTGTGGGAATCACATGTAGCACTTGAGATGACGGCTTAGTATAGATGCCCTGGTTAGAACTAGTTTGAATAGTTGCCTTAATCTGTATGCTTTTCACCATCAAATTTAAAACCAAAGTTTACCTAAATGGGATTGTTCACTCACAAAAATATTTAGATTCATGTATTTGAATTATATATATAAAAAATGTATTCATTTAAATTACACCTTTTTAACATAAACAAGCTAAAACTTAAAGGGTTAGTTCACCCAAAAATTAAAAATAGGCTGCATTTTACTCACCCCCGGGGCATCCTAGATGTATATGACTTTCTTCTTTCAGACGAATCCAGTCAGAGTTATATTCAAAATTGTCTTTGATCTTTCAAGCTGTTTAATGCCACTCAGCGGGTGTTGCATTGCTTCAGTCCAAAAGAACTTAAATAAAAATCGCCCATCCATAA